GGGTACCTCGGTTGTGACCTCACTCGTCCAACCATCCACATGTCTTAAACATAGCGAAGTTGTCCTCAACCTTTTCACCAGGATGACGGTTCGCTTTGTAGTGGCATTTCTCCTTCTTCTCGTAATCTTCTTGAAAGCTAAGCTTCCGCTTGAGTTTCCTTCGATTACGGTTGAAGTCATTGGTAACACTACCATAGTCCTTCGACCATGTAGTCATTACACCATCATAGGATCATTCGTGGCTTTTAGCCGATCCGTTAGACAACACAATAGGTACCAATTGTGTGTCACCAGCCACAGGTCTACCGGTTCGTGAACCAACGTTCTCCGGAGCACCATCGTGTGTCTTTGCAACTCCCATGGAAACAACATTTCCAACGTTGCTTCCATCAACTGGCATCACGGAATGTGCAACTTCGTTGCCTTTCCGACCATTTGAATGTGCACCTCCGGCAACATTCACGGATCCAACACTTTTGGAATCCATCGACTTGTTCATTATCAAAATTGATAAGGTTTTAAGATTGTTGGTGATAATGAACCAAAATCGATTTAATATCCGTAAAATAAAATTTATATATATACACACGAAATATATATAAAATATTATTGGATATATATCCGAAATATATATATACACACAAATATATATATATAACGGACCCAACGTTATATATACATGTATATCTCCGAAAAAGATATACCAATATATATCAACCAAAAAGAAAATATAATCCTTAGATTATAATTCCAAAACAACAAGAAAGAACAGATTTTTGCTTAGAGCATAATCCAAAACAAGAAAGAAGAAGAAAGAAAGAAATGTACGAGTTAGGCAAAGTGCATGTCTTTCCTTAAAACCTTATTTGCCACCTCCCAAAAGTGCTAGGAGCGTTGTGGCCTAGGTTTCCCAGGATAAAACGTACAACGGTTCGACGTTTGAGCACCCAAACGAACGAACCCGGCGAACTAGAGCACGGGCAAAACACAGTAGCAAGAAAAGGAGTAGGAGCAGAGGTTTTGAGAAGGAAAATTGCTTATCTTTGTGTGTTGTGTACTCTCGTGTTCTTCCCACACTTGTTGTAAATCACTTGCTCCTACAACCTCTTCTTATATAGGAATTGGAGTACTAAATAGCATTTAGTAGGCATTCATGGCACGTTGGTAACATCTGAAACAGCTGGTCATTAGTGCAGGTTTAATTCAAAACTCAAAATGAATTAATACAGAGATTAATTCCTTTAACGGATGAATTAAATCTCCACTGTCCAGAAACAGCTCTGGTAGACCGAAGTGCTGTTCAGCCGCAGTGCACGAGAGCAACTCTCGTGCTGCATGCTCTCGGCCAGGCCGCAGCGCACGAGAGCAACTCTCGTGTTGCTTGGTCTCGGCCAGCGCACACGAGAGCACCTCTCGTGCTGCTTGTTCTCTGTTCGACCACACTCTCGTGTTGCTCTCTGTTCGGCCTAATGCTCTCGGGCCAGGTCGAACCCAGGCTTTCAAGTGGCTTAGAGTTTGGAAAACTGATACCGAAAGTTGGCATAACTTAGCCCGCAAGGCCAGCCGATTTCCGGACGACATTCGTGCCCGTAGGTGCCGGCGCACACGAGCTCGGGCTTGAATCAAGCCTCTCCGAAATCATCTCTAGTTGGAATTTGAACCATATCATCACCTAGAATAACTAAACCAAATTAAATATTTCCTAACCTATATGTGGCGAGCCACTCCTTAGGTGATATGTGATAAGAACATTCGGAATCAAGAATCCACGCATTTGATAGTTAATAACTGGATGAAATCAGAAGAACATCACCTTCATTACAATCTGAAGTGTTATTCTTTTATCTTTCCAAATTCTAGTTCATTTGAACATTTTATCAAAAATCGTATGAAACTCTATTCGACCCCGCCTTCTAAACTTTCTTACTGTTGGAAAAATTAGCTTAAAATGACATAAAATGGCATATTAAATGGCTATTTTGTGGAACAATTATCAGTGGGGTCCACTTCCGATTTGGGTCAGGTCAAAGTGGATTCGGATTCTTCGTAGTAAGACGAAGAGATTGATATATTGTACGCTCAAAACGGATAATGCGTGAATGAGATATTGATTCTCAAAGTAGACCCATTTGAGTTGGGAAATGAAGGGAAAATAGTGGATTTTGTCCCACATTGGTTTGGAAACAAGATTTGCCCCCCTTATATACCTGAGCTCTTTTGAAGCTTGTAGAATTGTATAGCATAGAGGCTCTCTCGCGTGGGGGGGGGGGGGGGAGGGGGGGAGGGGGGGTGCAAATCAAAATCCAACTAGAGGAGATTGAAAAAGGCTTTATTCAAGCCCACCTGCGGGCTAAGGCGAACTGAGAGCACGAGAGTGGTGCACTCTCGTGTTGCCTGGTCCGTGTACTCTCGCCTAAAGGCTTTATTCAAGCCCACCTGCGGGCTAAGGCGAACTGAGAGCACGAGAGTGGTGCACTCTCGTGTTGCCTGGTCCGTGTACTCTCACCTGCACCCCAACGGTCTGAAACCCGAAAGTTTAGCCCTACGGAATTAATACTGTTTTAAATTCTGAGTTTAATCCTACTTAATGGGTGGCTGTTACAGGTGTTACACAATTGGTTTAATTCCAATTAAAGGCCATGTTAAATGCTATCCCTTCCAACAGCCCTGCCCTATATAAAGAGAGGTAGGGCAGAAGCATTTTACACAGTACAGAAAACGAAAGGAATTCCAGTAGCTTTCAGCTTCTCAAAACTCTGCTTCTGCTCTCTTCTTTACCAACTAGTGTTCACTGCTTTGCTTTGTTTGTCGGGTTCCTTGTTTAGGTGCTTAAACAAGGAATTGTAGCACGTTTTATCCTGGGAAACTTAGGCTACAACGCTCCTAGCACTTGTGGGAGGTAGCAAATAAGATTTTAAGCAAAAGAACTTTGTGTTCGAACTCGTGCTAAACCTATATCCAAACACTCCACATTTTCCTTCCCAAATTTTTCTATTTTCCCATATAATATTAACCTTTTCATAGGATTATTATTTTTGGGATTTTTTCAACCATATTACCCAACACTTAGTACCTTGGGACCAATACACCATATGTTTAAAAGAAAGAGACAGTGAGCACAACTAAATCATCACATTGTCTTCCTCGCTAATCTCAACATCAAGCGGGGCTAGAAATAAGATTATTTGACTAAAGGAATTAACCCGCTAAACTAAGCAGAATCCTTTTGCATTTTCAACCCACAGAGTCTCTGCTTAACATAAAGTTTGTTCATCACAAACTTCTATATGATTTTAGTCTCCATAATTTATCCCAAATTTCCTTAATGACCCGTTTGGTTCACGGAATAGGTCGAGAATGGCATATCATTCCCAGTAATAGGCCTATTCCTTTGTTTGGTAACCATTTCTATTACCAGGAATAATATTCCTGGTAATAGCCTATTACCTCAAATAAGGTAATAGCTATTACTAGGGGCCCCTCTGGTATTAGCCTATTACTGAACGCTCAGGAATAGATTTTAGAATCTATTTTCTTTTTTACCCATTTATTTTACCTAATTTTTTAATCCTATATATAAATTTATCCTATTTCACCACCGTCGTCGCCACCACCACCATCACCGCCGTCGTCGCCGCCGCCACCACCACCATCGCCACCGCCGCCACCACCACCACCATTGCCACAACTGCCGCCGATCCCACCACCACCGCCGCCCCCACCACTGCCACCGCCACCACCACCACTACCACCCTAGCACCACCACCACCATCACCACCACCACCACCACCATCGCCGCCGCCGCCACCGCCACCACCGCCACCAGAACCACCACCCAGCAGCACCACCGCCGCCGCCGCCGCCGCCACCACCGCCACCGCTACCGCCACAACCGTCGCCGCCCCCACCGTCACCACCACCACCGTCGCCCCCACCACTGCCACCGCCACCACCACCACTACCACCCCAGCACCACCACCGCCGCCACCACCACCACCACCACCACTGCTACCACCATCGCCACCACCACCACCTCCACCACCACCACCACCACCGCCACCACCATCTCCACCACCACCACCACCATCGCCGCCACCACCACCGCCGCCGCCGCCACCACCACCACCATCACCACCATCACATATTTTTATAAGGGTATTCATGTCTTTTAAAACATATTTCATTTCTATTCCTTAAATCAACCAAACACTGTAATATAATTCCTAAAGTTTATTCCTTCCGCGAACCAAACAATAGAATACATTTCATATTCTATTCCTTGCATATTCCATTCCTTATGGAATAGCATTCCTATTACCTCAAAATTCATTCCGTGAACCAAACATGTTGTAAGAATTTTCAGAGACATAATGTGGTACATAACATAATCCGTGAAGTACAACCAAATAGTTTCTAATGCACGCTACTTTAGATCCTCCCAATCATCCCCGCTTACCGTTGCCATATTCTTAACCGTAGACTATGGTACCCAAATTTTCCTATACCATCAAATTTCAAATTTCAAATTTTACACTCCACATAACCTTCCTAACAATAATCTAATACCAATTTGTAGAGAAAAATTAAATGTGAACAAGAGCAAAAAAATAAATAAAAATAAAAATAAACGAAGAAGAAGAAGAGTGTACATAATTCGGCTGAGAGCCTACATCCAAAGGAGCGAATGAGATTTTCTATTAACTGTGATGATAAAATATCTAAGTTTACCAGCATCATATTTATAGGCAATAGTAACTGTACATTAGTATCATACCACGGGATCACGGTCTGGCACCCTCCACTCTTTTCGCTGTGACAGATGTTATGTTTCATAACATATGAGAAATAACATATTAGACTAGGACGGCCATAACAAGAATGATAATAACAACAATAATTGCGTTGACGAGTGGAGTTATAGTCAATGGATCTTACTTTTTAAATGCTTATCACAACATACATTTTTTCCTATAAATTCAGGTCGGCATGTTGTGGGGATTAACACAAATTGAGAAAAAACTATTAAAACAAGAGACCAGAAACATCGTGAGAAAACAAAATGAGCAGTGCAAAGGTGGTGTTTGTTCTCTTCAGTCTTTTCCTGATGGGTTTTTGGGGAAGAGCTGATGCATTGACGGCGGCGGAGTGCAAGGAGGAGAGGAGAATTCTGGTGAATGCGTGTAAGGCAGTGATCACGAAGCGGCCGCCGACGGCGTTTTGCTGCGAAAGGCTGAGGGTGACGCACGTTGAGTGCGTTTGCCCAGTCATTACTCCAATACTGGCGGCCCTTATCGATGTCAATTACGCTATCAAGGTTATCCAAGGTTGTGGAAGGCAAGTGCCTCGTCATTTCAAGTGTGGAAGTAAGTTTCAAAACAAATTTCCTTTTTCTATGCCTATTGTTGGGTTTATTTCAGAGCTTATAGTTTATTTTAAAATACAAATGAGTTATAAGCTTTGCTTGGTAAAACATGAAGTGCTTAAAATAGTACTCTTTTTGTCTCATTTCATCCGTCTGGTTAACTATTTATTGGTCAAACTAACTTTTTCTTCTATACTTATTTTCTTTAGTATTTTTTAATTATTTTTAAATTTAATTTCTTTTTTTTTTTTGTGTTTTATAGTACTTTTAATGTAGTTTCACTACTGGAAATTCTGAAATTTCCGACCACCTGAAAGTGATCTTAAATCAAGTCAAAAGCCTTGTTCCGACCACTTTTGGTATCCGGGAAAACCTTTGTTGCTATTTCCGACCACTTTTTGGTATCAACTTTATTTAAGACCATTTTCAGGTGGTCGGAAATTCCATAATTTCCAGTAGTGTTTCTAAATATAGAAATTTAATATATATACTAACTCTAAACTTAATATTGTGAAAATTTTAATTCAAAATAACTACAGACAAGCCTCGTTAATCAAACCGGCCGGACACATAAAATGAGACGGAGTGAAAAGCTTATTTTGAAACGCTACCTTAATTAGCGTCTCAAAATAAGCTCCTTACTTTTTAACTTTTTTTTTTTTTTTTAGCTTTAATATAGAGTACGTAATTTACAAAAATAACACCATCTCTATTCTTCATTAATCAAAATCATAATATCTTAGTTTATCATTTTATGTCTTTTTATACTAATCAACTAATCAACAATTAATTTTACAAAATATTTTTATTTCAATTACTGTAATTAGTTTATTAGCTACCAGCTTTTCAATTTTCAATTTTCAGTTTGTCAAACAGAGTCATCGTGATCACAGAAATTCCTATGTACACTAATAACCTGTCTCATTTTGTTTTTCTTCCTTTTGTCTGCAGGCATCACAACTCCATAGACCTGGGTAGACAATTATCAAACGGTTTTAAATGACTTATGATATATTGTGGTTCGATATATTATGATACAACTCTAAGGGGACATGTTGTGTATTGTGAACAAAATAAGCAAAGAATTCAGTAATATATATACTTGCTATAATAATTTGAAATAGACTACTGTATTTAAATTTTTAACTACTATACAAGTTGCTCTTATCCAAAGATAATCATCTATAAAATTAAATAAGATTACAAAGGATTGCCGCCCCCACCCCTCAAAAATTGGATTACGCATACTTTGGTATGGTACTGAAATTGTTTTATTTTACCCCAAAAAGTAGTTGGTAATGTTTGTTGCATTATTTTTCTTTCTCTGATCTCTATAAAATGTAAGGAAATTTCATAAAGAATCAAGCTAAGGCCAATTCAAAGCCAACTCAAGAACAGTAGAATCGGGATTAATCAATAATGTTAATGGAGTGTAGACGCCAACACAATCAAAATTATAAGAATTAAAAGAAGTGTACGTGTTATCTTAATTAAAAGTTTAATAATAAGACTATAATTTTATTATAAATATATAAATACACAAACAAAGAATCAATTTCTGCCTTACATTCATAAAATTCGGACGAATAAGATAAAAAAAAATTTTTTAAAAAAACGCGATGATATTTTGTTAGTTATCGCCAACTTTAAAAAAATGCAGTGGTGTTATTATAGTTATCGCTAATTTTATTGTGCAACTTTTAACACTATACAATGCACTTTTTAACAATATAAGTGCATTTTGGATCTTTTTTTAAAAAAGAAAAAAAAAATTAATTCCACCAGAGGTCCTTTGTATTTGGTGGTAGTTCCAAATTTAGTCTCATACTATCGTTTTTGCCATTAAACATCCCAGACTATTATTTTTTGGACACTTTTAGAACTTCTCATGACTTTTTCTATTTTTAGTAAGGCTTTTTTGTCTTTCATATTTTTCTATTATTATTTTTCCGGTTTCAATTGATTTAATTGGTTTAGGACTTTAAGTAATCTTTGATTTTTAGTAATTCAATTGATTTTTAGTAAAGTTCTAAATCAATTAAACCAGTTGAAACTGGAAAAATAACAAAAGAAAAATATGAATAGACACAAATAACCTTACTAAAAATAGGAGAAGCCATGAAAAGGACTAAAAGTGTCCAAAAAATAATGATCTGGGATGTTAAATGACAAAAACGATAGTCTGGTACTAAATTTGAAATTGACACCAAACATAAGGACCTCGAGTGGAATTAACTCTTTTAAAAATATTAACAAAAACACTAAATTTTATAGCTAAATGGTAAATACTACACCTAAGCAGTAAAAAGTGAGGTTCTAAAATAAATAAAACAAAAACAAATCATAAACTCTAAAATCCAAACGCTAAGAGCACTGTCCTTTTTAAAGTGCAATTTTTATTACTATAGAGTCCATTTTTTAACAACATTATGTGCATTTATAGAAAATCATGAGAAGTGCGAAATGTAGTATTACAAGTTGTACGGTAAAGGGTTGAACCCCTCTTTTGTAACCAAAAAAAAAAAAAAAAAAAAAAAAAAAAGTTGTACGGTAAAATTTTCAATAGTTACGAAAATGCCACTACAATTTAGTTATTATTTTAAATTTGATATTATATTTTCATATTTCCAAATTTAAAGTTAAGATTGGTTCTTAATTTTCTTCAGGAGGTATGTTGTCATTTGATTCTTTCTATATATAATTATATATAGGTACTGGATCAAATGAGAACAAGTCCTTAGAAGAGAAATAAGAATCAATCTCAACGTTAAATTGGAAAAATCATACGGATCAAGTCAAATTAAAAAAGAATGCAGAGACTTTTATGTAATTATCACCAATTTTACTATGCAAACTTGAACACTAAAATCTGTAATTCTCAGACTTTTTTCAGATTTGCACATTTAGTATTAACGTTGTGCACATTTAGTATTCAAATATTGCAGTTACAAAAATGAGAAAGTGCATTGCACTTAGGGTTTCAATTTTAGAGTTTATGATTTACTTTTTTGTTTTATTTGGTTTAGTGGTTCACTTTTTACTGTTTAAGGTCTAGCATTTACGGTTTAGATTTAAAATTTGACTTTTTCGTTGATTTTATAAAATTTATCAGGTTTGCATATTTGAGTATTCAAGTTTGCTAGTGTAGTAGATGATAATTACAAAAATGCCACTACATTTTTTTTAAAAATCTGATCAGATCCGTTGAATTTTTATAGATGCGTCGAATTTTTACAAATGTAAGGCTGAGATTTGTTCTTATTTATCTGTTATATAGCTAGGATCAGGATCAAATGAAAACATGGTTCTTATGTAAAAAATAAGGAATGATCTCAGTCGTCCATCAACGTTCATTAATAGTTGAGGGTTATACTAAAAAAGAACACGTGTTCAATTTTATAATTATTGAAAACTTTTAAAAGTGAATTTTATTTTATATATAATTATTGTAAACTTGAAAATTTATTAATGATAAAATTCTAATTAAGTTTCAAGACGAAGAATGTGGATGTGTCCATACATTTTTTAGAGAAAGAATATGAAAGATCAAATTTAAAGTGGTAAGATCAAATGAAAATACGATCCTCTTATAAAATGTGCGTACTGATTTCACGCAAAATTTACGTTCATGAACACATAGTATCGTCCTTATTTAAAGTTCACTTGAGAAATGATATTCTCAATCCTCCAACAAAAAAGACAGACTCGTTATCTTCGATGGCACAATAATACAAACAGTCTAAAAATAGACAAGTTTTAATTATTTTAAGTTATGATCAAGTCTAATTAATAAAATAGAATAGACACATAAATATATAATATACTCCGTATCATATTAGAATAGAAGTTGATGTATGATTTAGTTTATTAATTTTCCATGAGCCTATGATGATGAGTGCTGAGGCTAGAACAGCTAAGCTGATAACGAACAAGCTAGCTAAGTTTTTTTTTTTTTTTTTTACTTTTTTTATTTTTATTACAAGTGAAGGGGATATCCAAATATATAAACTATTACACATCTACCGAGCCTCGAACCCATCACCTCCTACATAAGAGAGCAACTTGATATCATTGGACCACAACGTCCTTGGTACAAGCTAACTACGTTACTACAACACATAATATAAATATGACTGCAACAGAAGAGTCCTACTACAACACAAACAATATAATCCTAATACCCCCCCTCCCCCCCCCCCCCCCCTGCCTCAAACACAAGGTTGATGAGCCACAACGTTGAACTTGTTCCGTAGAAAAGTAAACCGTGAACCAGATAGTGCCTTAGTGAAGATGTCTGCTAGTTGATCCTTGGTAGATATAAAATTAACCTGCAACTCTTTCTTGGACACTTTGTCACGAACAAAGTGATAGTCAATTTCTACGTGTTTTGTTTGTGCATGAAAAATGGGATTGACACACAGATAGGTAGCACACAAGTTATCACACCATAACTTAGAAAGAGAAGAAGGAGACATACCCAGATCCTTCAAAAGAGAAACCAACCACGTTACCTCCGCGAATACATTTGCTAAAGATTTATACTTAAGCCTCTGTTGAATAATGAGCTACTGTACACTGCTTCCGACAAGTCCAAGGAACCAAATTATTACCCAGAAACACTGCAAAGCTACTTGTAGATTTTCGGTTGTAACACCCTAGATTTTCAAGACTTTTAAAACTTATATAATAAATAAAGATAGAATCTCATTAAATCCCAAAATACGATACAAAGAGTACGGGGTGCTATGCCACACCCGAGCTAGAGAACTCGGGTGCACAAGCTAAATTCTAAAACCTCAATTAGTATCAATACGAAATCATGGCACGCAGGCCGAAAGGGAAAACTATCTAAGCTATGCCCTAAGCTTCTAGCGCGCTCCAGTGATCTACTCGACTGTGCCTGAAAGCCAAATATATCTGTTCAGCGAGAGATGCTGGTAACCCACTCCAACGTGTTGAAATACAATACATATATATATATAGATATACGAAAACCATTTTCAACATGAAGATATATCCTACGAACTCTAACTTTTAAAACAGGGATAGACTCAACAGATAGAGCTAAGCACAGACAACAGTTATACCCGGCATATACAGTTCACAACAGGCAAGACAGATAAGACAAGCACGATAAATAATCATAACCCAACATGTACAATCCCCGGTACAGTTCCCATAGTCTTATCCCAATTTTACTCATAACAACAACTCATCCATACTTCTTGGTTGGTTATAAGCCTTCTTGGTTTTTCTTGGAGTTTGGCTTGTCGCTCGTTCTTTGTTCAGTCCTTTGGTGACCAAGTGCTTGGTGATGTATTTCTCTTCCTTGGAATGCATTGATTGACTGCCTTTGACGTCGCATGCTGTTTTGGCGATTTTGTGTGTTACATGTACTTCTTACGGTGTCATAAAACCATCAAGGTCCTTGTTCCCAGGTAAGACCCTTATCACCGGGAGGCTCTAGTTGTATGATACTTTCCATGCGTCTGTTGCATCTTCTTGTCATATCGAGTTCTTTTCGACAATTCGTGCTAACGATTGGGAAAAGACGCTGTTTATGTACTACTTTTATTTCTTGCATTTAATTGGCGTTCCCGGTCTCCGGGCTGGGATAGTTGCGCCCATTCTTAACCAGTTCCGGAAGGGTTCGCTCATGCTGGAGGGAGCGGTCTCCCACTTTCGTTACTCTTTCTTTCGGGTTTGTCCCTAAATTCCCCGTTTGGTAGAAGTTGGCTTTACTGGTGTAGGCTTCGCTGGGTGTGCGGGGTTTGCTTACAATTAGGGCCTTCTGGGTTTCGTAGTTGTGGTCTGTCACAGACTTCTTTATCTTGGTTGTCTCTGTAGGATCTAATTCAGGCGCGAAACAAGCCAGTTGGATGGATCGTTTGTGGTATTCCCTGATGGTGGTCATCCCTTGTTTTAGGTGGAGGATTTTCCTCGTACATGGTTGCCCTTACAGGTGCGGGGTGGAATCGTCCCCGTAGCCGTGCCCCTAGGCACTCCTAGTTGAACCCCTGGTTGTTGCCCATAAGTGGGTTCTTCGTGGATTTATCAAAGATCAGCCTCGTGTCTTGAAGTGAAATGAGGTTATCCCTACGCGGCGTTCCTCTGGGTATTCCACTAATCCCGAGGACTTTGTT